TGTGCGACGATAAATTCCGCACTTAGATCATTTTGCAGACGTCCATTTTTCATTATGCATGTCATTATCTTCACATACTTTTCATGCATGATGAACTGTCATCATAAGTTGAAGAGGATCTCCACAAGTACAACCTGCCATGTGCATTTGCATTCCAAAAGCAAATTACTTATATGCACATCTTCAGGGGGAGCCCTTGCAACTTATGAAGACAATTCCTTATCCTTTACAATTTCACATATTATATTCCCCATTGAAAACTTCAACTAGTTCGTCATCAATCACCAAAAAGGGGGAGATTGTAAGTGCATCTAGTGCCACCCCTAGTTGGTTTTGGAGCATTGACGACAAACCTAGTTGAGGGACTAATGTGTTTGTAAGAATTGCAGGATAACACAGGTAGAAGTCCCTCATTGATTCGGTTTTCCTACCAGAGATGACCCCTAAAAATGTATGAAGACATTGAAGTCAAAGGTGGTATGTGAAGACATTCACATTGAAGACTATGACAAGAGAAGACATCGCATGAAGACTATGGAGCGCGAAGACTTAGATCTTTCGTAGTTCTTTTTCTTCTTTGTTGAGTCATAGGAACCACCGTACTGTTAAGTGGGGTCCAAGAGAACCAGTCAGAATGACTGAAGTGATGCTTAACCAAAATCCTATGTCTTCTAGTGAAGACTATGAGAGCGAATCTTGTCCAAAGTTGGACAAGTCAGCTTTGCTTGTAGCCCAAGTAAAGTTGCCGTGTGTGTTTGAAATCTGATTGTTGGAACACGTGTCAGTTCCTTAGTGACCCAGGGTCATTTCGGACAAATCAGGTCGGCTTGCCTAGTGGCTATAAATAGCCCACCCCCTACAACCATAAACGGTTGGCTGCTCAGAGTTAAAGTACGGCTGTTGTTGTTTGAGAGCAACCCACCTCGAAGCCTTTGAGAGAGAATTTCTTGCGAGGATAAAGTCCTAACCACCCAGAGCCAAAGAGTGTTAGGCATCACAAAAGTCGTCCTGTCTGTGTAATCTGAAGACTTATTACACTTGAGGATTGTGAATCCTCCAGCCGGTTAGGCGTCGCGTTCTGAGCATCCAAGAGTCATTGTGGATCACCGGTGAACGAAGTCTGTGAAGGTTTGGGAGTCTACCTTGAAGACTTACCAGAGTGATTGGGCGAGGTCTGCGTGACCTTAGCTCAAGGGGAATACGGTGAGGACTAAGGGTTCTGAGCTGCGTGTTCAGGACTGGGTGTCCGGGACTGTGTGTCCTCAGATTTAAATACCTAGCCGCCCTAACCAGACGTACAGTTGTCACAGCAACTGGAACTGGTCCAACAAATCATTGTTTTCAACGAGTCACTTGTTTCATCCTTCCCTTCCCTTTACTTACTGTTGGTCCTCGTGAAGTCATTGCATGATTGCATTATCTTTTGTCTTCATTGAGTGACTGCTTGTTCTGATTGGCTTCACAATATCTTCCTACCTGATCCTTACTGCCTAGCTGCTATTAGTCATTGTGCTTTCACTTCTTTGGTTACTTGACTAAGGTTGCCTAGTGTAGTCTACCTTCCGCTGCGTGGTAATAGGTTTACTTCTATCATTTGTCTTCAAAACTTCCATGTTTTGAAGACTTTCTTAAAAATCGCCTATTCACCCCCCTCTAGTCGATCACTAGCACTTTCACCTTCTCGGTGAGCTCTGTTCCTATCGACCAAACCTTGAACGAGAATGGATCTTGCATCAAAGCCTGGTTCCCTGGGGTCGACTGGAATCCTTCGCCTAACACTATGAGGGCGCTTGTCATCCTGCTGTCGAGGCACATACGATCCACTCCTCGGGGGAGGGGTGGGCACTCGACGTCGATCGTCACGATCGAATCGGTGATCATACTGCTCACAGTTTCCATACTGATCACGCCGGTCTCAACGTCCCTCACGCCTCGGGGGCGATCTTGGACTATGAGCCGACTGGACTGTGTCTGCAGCAATGGATATGCTATGAATCCTGTTCCGCGACTGAGAAATAGCGGAATTCTGGTCTCCTGCTGCTCAGAGTAACGCTTTGATCTGCAGCAAGCCTCTGCCAGCCTCTGATTGGGAAGGCTGGATCGACTCTGCTATACGGGCTGCAGCTGCTAAATTCTGAATCGAAGTTCGATATATCTGCGGGGCGGAAAGAGCTGACGTCGACTGGATTCTGGAACCCATTGTCGCGCACGCTCGTCGAGTGCTCGCTGGAGGTTCTCCAGTCGAGTGCGCTCAGCCAAGTTTGCCAGGCGCGCGTCCTCCAAGGCACAAGCCTCGGGGGTTTCTTCAACGATAGGAGTGTGCAGTGCATCCATGTTCCGGCGACGAAGTTCTTCTCTCTGCAGCAACGTGAGAGGTTCGGGGAGATATTCCTCATGGGGATGCGATGGGTCGCCTCCACCTGCGCCTTCGTCGGTGCGGGGAAAACCGGGAGGACTGCGTGGTCCATCGACCATCAGAACCTCCGCCGCCGGATCACTGCTGTCGCACTTGGATGCGGTCTCTGTGGAGCCAGTCGACAGGTCGAACAGGCCGTAGAGGGATTCGTCGGGCTCGATCGCCGCGACTTGAGGGGTGGTCGACTGGCGTGCCACCGCGTGTCTCACCCATCGCTGAAGTCTCGACCGACCGGAGCGCTTGCGCCGGCGGGAAACAGGGAGGGAGGACAACACAGGGGCCGACCGATAATGGGTCGACGGTTGCTGCAAGAGGACGCCGCGAACGCACACGCAAAAGTGCGTTGCCCCGCGGACAGGGAGTGCGTCGACGTCGAGCGGAGCCTCCTGAAGCCAAGCGGAGTCGTCGGCGATGAACGTGAGCGCGCCGAGACGGATCTCGCGGCCCTCCACCAAAACTCCGCCAGAAACCATGATGATTTGGATCAAAAAAGATCGCAACTCCTCCAACAAATCGCTAAGACACCTGCCCCACGGTGGGCGCCAACTGTCGTGGTTCTAAGTCTGACAGTAGGGGGGTAGGTATGGAGAGGCAAGATCTTAGCTATGGAGTAGTTGTAAGCACACGAGGTTTACGAGTTTAGGCCCTTCTCGGAGGAAGTAATAGCCCTACGTCTCGGAGCCCGGAGGCGGTCGACTGGATTATGTATGTATGAATTACAGGGGTGCGAACCCTTTACACTGAGGAGGGGGGTGGCTTATATAGAGTTCGCCAGACCCCTTCGGCCCTCAGTTATGCAGGGTTTCAAATACATTAAGGTCGGGCATTACTGGTAACGTCCCAGTGCCATGATGACCATAAAAGCTACTTAATGACCGACCGTTAGCGTGCGGAGTGACTTTAGGCCTCCTGGCCGTCGAGTGGTTGGATCTTGGTCGAGTGATTGCTTCTTGGTCGAGTGTCTTCGAGTCTGTCGAGTGGAACACCTCCAAGTCGATTGAAAGGTGATTTCTTCTAGGGATGTCCTTGGGTAGGGCAGTTAGGACAGGTCCATGACCCTACCCTAGGTACATAGCTTCATCACTACCCGCGTGATGTGGCCTGGCCACTCGTCGGCCGACACGTGGCCAATAGGCCAGCTGTCAGTCACCGATTCGCCGACGAGGTGCAACCGGCCAACGACTGGTGGACAAGGGCCAATCAGCCTCCCGAGGGCTAACTATGTATTTTTTTAAAAATAAATTGGCATAATATTTTTGAAAATTAATAAAAAATGTATTATTTAAAAAAATTAGCCCTGAATCAATGTGGTAACGGGCAAAACAATGGGGAGGCCGAAGGCACCTCCACCAAGTTTCATGAAAATACATGTGAACGCAGCCATGATAAGGAGTCAGGCGAGGGGCTCAGTGGCGGCTGTATGCCGAGGTATAGAGTGAAACTATATGGGTAGTTCCTCATTTGTAATTCATGACATAAATGATGCATCTACATTGGAAGCTATTGCTTATCGAGAGGCTATATCTCTCGCAGAGTATGTTATGCTTAAGAAAATTGTGAAGAATATAGAGAAAGGAAGCCACAAAGTATATGGGAACATCATTAATGAGATTAATAGGAGGTCTCAAATGTTTAATTGTACTTTTTTCCTTTGAAGGTCGAGCTGCTAATAGCGATGCCGATAGGTTAGCCAAGTTCTCACATTCTCTCGATCAGTGGCGACACGTCTGGCTGGTCCAACCCCATGATCCCTTTTGTATCCTACATCATGTGGATTTTGAGTAATAAAACTTATGATACCCCTCAAAACAAAAACTACATCGGGGCGCTTAGGGCATCTCCAGAGTGCTAAAAAAGCATTTTCGACACCGACCCTTCAAGGAGGCGCCGGGGAGGGGTGCAGTGCCGGGCCGTGCGCCTCCGAGCTCGAGGAGAGCCCCAGCCCCGAGACCACCGGGCGCTCATCAACGTGACGGTAGCTGGAGGTGACCGATTGCGGACTGGAATCCATGGGCGTCGGGCTGCGGGGGGAGGTGTGTGTGTGTGTGGGGGGGGTGTGGCTGCCGGGGTCGGAGTGACCGACGACAAGGGAGGGTGGCCACCGCGACCGAAGTGGCCGACGGTATGAAGCTAGGTGGACGCCGCCGCCGGAGTAGCGAGCGGCGTTGGGCGAGGAGCAAGAGGAGCACCGGTGGTCGCCGTCGCTGCTGCATTTTTTTAAAATTGTTTGGATTGCTTATCACATGTGTCATTACTCTTTTGCATTAACCGATCTTACTAATCATGTTTAGCACATTAACTTGGAGGATAAGAAACCGTCCACGTCGGACCGCCTGGACCCACGCTCCAGAGAGAGAACCAGTCCCGAAATTTCCAGCCAAGAAAACACAAGGAAACAGAGCATATTCCGCCTGTTCCAGCAGCAGAGGGAAGCAACCTAACATCCAGCCCGGCCGCGCGCGAGAGATCCCGCCGAATCCCCAAACCCAACCACCGCTCCTCGCCCGCCTCCCCGGCGACCTCAGATCTCGTCTGCGGCGGCGGCGGCGACGTCGGAGGCGGAGGGCGGGGATTGGAGGCGAAGATGTTCTATGGGGCGATGGTGTGGGATCCGTGGCTGATCGTGGCGCAGATCGTCTGCCTGCAGTGCCTCTACTACCTCGGGCTCGGCCTCTTCATGGCGCTCCTCGTCGGCACCCGCGTCCCGCGCCTCACGCTCCTCTACCTCTTTGACTTTGCCACTCTCACCCCGCGCACAACCACCGGCTGGTGCGCCATCGCCTCCTTCCTCCTCGCCGCCATCGCAGGGTACGGTAACAGCACTGCTCATTCCCATTTCCGTTCCTCCTTCCCGCCGGCACGCCAGCCATTGGTTCCTCCAAGCTACGACCTGCTTCTACATGTGCAACATTTAGCAGTGCGGGGTTCCTCTGTAGGAATCAAGACCCGGAATAGGTCGACTGGACCCCTGCACTTGGTAGTAACTGCTTCTGGTTATGGCTGTAGGTGCTAATTGCTTCGAGATCCAAAAGCATCGACTGTAAATTGCCTGTCAGCAGCGTGTAGTTTTCCACATCTTTTTCTAAATTTGCGGAATGTAACAGCCATTTCTTCAACCAGTAGTTAAGCTTCTTGAGTTTGTTGGTATGTATTAAGCCTAGAGAGGGGTCTGGTCGTATACTTGTACTTGCTAGAGCTGTGAAGTATCTGAAATATAAAGCCAAATCTGCCATGTAACATAGATGCATTGTGATATCGGCTTACCAGTAGATACATCAGAAGATTTTCAGTAGAGTGTCATTGATGGCTGCTATGGAAACCTTGTTCTTGTTGCCATATAGTATTGCATAGGGTGTAGGCGCCCAATTATGACTGGAAGGAAGGCCATCTCATCAGTAGATAGGCCAGTAAATTATTTTGTGGAATTCCAGTTGTAAATCAGAAAGATGTCGTGAGCACTTTCCATCCTCATTTTCCAAATCAACCAAGAAGAGTTTGATCTCTAGAAAATATTCTGGAGCCAGATATTCTAATAGCAGATGGATAAGGGAATTAATCCACCCCATTCACATATCCTTTGTGGGCAGTGCGAGGAAAGCACTTGCTAAAGTATCTGAACTTACACAGAAATAATATATAGGAATCAGGTTTTGCTGCTTCAAGCCTTTTGGAAATGAAAATTTTCTGCTAACACATACTGTGTTTTCCTGTATTTTATATCCTTGTACTTAGGCTGAACCTTCGACCGAGAAAGGCTTTTGCCCCACTTTATAGATAATGCCAACCACCGAAACAACCGAGTACACATGGTAGCAGCAAACACAACAACACCATACAAAGAAGAATTCTCAAGCAACCATCTAAATAGGCAGAATGCCCTACATCGTAGTAGGTTAGTGTCTAGCATTTAGGATTAGACTTCAGTTTCCACACTGTACTTGTCAACAATAACTACAGAAACCAAAACCATGCTACCGATGATAACTTGGTAAGCCTTCACTAAGAACTCGGTCTTTGTTAGCTATGAAGAGAATGGGCTTCATTGATTGCTTTAGCCTTTTCAGTTATCTAATTGTTCCTTCTATGTTTTCTGCAAGAAATGGTTTGGTTTTAACTTTGCTTCCATGCTTTCCTTGGGCAGTGCTGGATTCATGTTTTATGTGATTGAGAGAGCCAAGAAGTGCCTGGACTTCGCAGCCACCCTCTACATCATCCATCTGTTTATTTGCATTATTTATGGTGGATGGCCAGCTTCAGGTACATGGTGGGTGGTTAATATTGTTGGTTTGGCAATCATGTCACTCCTCGGTGAATACCTATGCATCAGGCGAGAGCTAAAAGATATTCCAGTAAGGCTTCGTGCAAGTAAGCAACTCTGTCCTAATGAATTTGTCTTATTTAATTTTCCTTAGATGATTGTTCTCTTTTTAAATAAGGAGTCCTGTACATTTTGTTGCTTATCTATGTAGCCCTCTTACAGTATGCTTAGCGAAGAGTCTCATTTAAGCTTGAATATTAGAGTGACTAAGTTGTTAATACATCTGCTAATGAACTTTAAAGCAATGGATGGCACATTAAATTGTTTGGATTAGTTGGTGATTCTGTAATATCCTAAATCTTATGTTGCCACTTGGCACCTACCTGTGTCCATATGTGACTATGAGTTTTGGTGGTCCTTAATTCCTTTTTAGGCTTGAAGCTCAGTATAGTTAGTACCAACTGAGATATTGTGCCATCACAGATTCTCATATTTTGAAAGTTTTCTGCTGTTCTTGTGCTGTCTACTTATAAGGATTGTAGTAAGTTTGAGCACATATAGACACACAGGAATGTGCCTTTTTGTTTGGCAGACAGGGCTGGAGCGTCACAACTCGTACACTTGACGTGGCTAAAAAAACTGAACTCGAAGCCAATTGGTGCTAACTAAAAGAAAATGAAAGAAAGCAATTGTATATTGAACAAACTGTATGCAAACAAATGAAAGAAATGAAAATAATTATGCAAATACGGGCATACGGCTACATTTAATGGTAGTTACAGTTATAAAAATTTCATGTTTCCCAATGCAATCTGAGCAGATGGTAAACTTAGTTCGGAGCAGAGATATGCATCAGAATTTTAATCTTTGCATAGTTAGAATGCTTGCTGCAACTTGGACCAAGTTCTCATTCACTCACTGGTTTCAGCATCTTGCTAATTCAGTTCTGGCATCTAATCATGAAATTTAGTAGCGTTAAAATGGTGATCGACCACTGCTTCTTTCTACTAACATGTCTGCTGAACTGTATGATCCACATCTTTCTTATAAAGTGTAGTGTTAGTGAGTTTAACTGCTGTTATCATAGAAAGTTTCTTATACAGAAGTTGAAAACCATATGGCCTAGCGTAAGTTCAGACCAAACTGCATTATTAGTCCAGCTGATGATATGATCCGAATGAGTGAGCATTAGGCTTCTACTGAGTCCCGTTTATAGATCGAGTGATTGACTAAAATCTTGCCAAATGAGCACCAATAGTGTTTGACTAACAGAAAAAACCTGGTAGAACTATTAAGTTGGGCTGGGCCCACTGAGTACTCGAAACCTATGTAGTTGTTCTCACTTCTCAGCATGTGAAGTCAGGAAATTTCGAGGGCTCAAAATTAGATTTTCATGGTTTAATAAACTTACTTGCTGGCCATTCAAGTTCAGCTCTGTTTAGGGTCCATAAGCTTCCAGGCCAAAAACCATTGGAAACAACTACAAGCATGCGTTGCTGGTTCACAGCATTTTCATGATTTGAAATAGTATAGGAACATGTGACCATGTAAAATAAACTTTTTATTTGACCTGGCTTATCTAATTGTTTTCCAGCCTTTTCAGCATGACTGACTTCCTTGAGTGAAAAGATCGTTTCTTCTTTGTTGTTTGACAAATATTATCATAAATAAGGTGTCAGCTCTGTTTAGATTCTTGAACAAGAGAACAATGGCATTGAGAACTTAAGTAGCAACGAACTTTTCTTACTTGGCGCCACTCAACTCAGTACATGTGCACTGTTACTTCCCCCTGTTTACCTCTGTTGAAAACTATCTTCTCCAGTCACAACTTAGCAGCCTTCTAATTATTTCATCCTTCCTTCAGGTGTTTAATCTCAGAGGCTAAAGGAGTATAGGTGGTTTCCAACTGTTGTTACCCCCCAAGAGATGCTTGTTAATATCTGCCCTTAGGAATACAGAGACCTGCGATGCATGCTTTGTTGTGTGATTTACAACCAATACTATTGAATCCTGCAAATATCTTTGCTGTTGTAATGCATGGTCTCTCTGTAGAACCACCATAGGTAAATGACATTGCGAGCGAGGCTTCTGAACTACCACCATTGGAATGGGATGTCAGCTCATTTTTTGTGGCATGTATCAAGTCTTCCTCTCTTATGGATGGTGATAGAAAACAGGTGTCTGCTTGACAATTTGTATGACTAGATAACAATATCTTGAAATTGCTCTTTAGCGAGATTGATAATGCGAATTTTCTCGCACATTTTGATTTTTGCAAGCTGTACATTGCAGATATCATACCTAGTTTATTATCTCTCAGTAAGTGAGAGCTGATTTCTGTCTGACCCCACATGACTGCTTAGAAATTCAATATTCCTTCACAACGCTTCTTTAAGTTCTTAGGAAGTAATGCTAGTATGTGTTTGGCATAGAGGAGTTTCAATTGGATTTGAACACCAGGAATTGCAATTCTATGTGAACTCAAGCTCTTCAATGTATTTTTCTTTTCTTGGAGAGGTGTTTTTTTAACCTTTCTTGGAGAGGTGTTAATGGGTGGCGTACTGGCGTCCAGCTCTCAGCCTCTCGCTCATAGCTGTTGCCACTTGCCGACTAACAATTCTCTGATGATAATTCATGGTGCACAATATCAAGAGGGCAAGTACTCGATTTCCGTGAAACAACTGAAACATACTCTCTTTGTCCATAAATACTTGTCGTTAGATATATCCATTTTTATCCATCTCTCCGACAAGTATTTCCGGACGGAGAGAGTATGATTGATTATTCTTTTACAAGCTAAGGAATATCCACTGATATGCACTTCGACCCTTACAAATGCAATGGCATTGGACACTATTTATCTACGGAGCTGTAGTTGCGCATGGCATGGAAAAAAAGACAAAAAATAACCCACAAAAAAAAGTTAAAACATAAAATCAATCAAATGAATACAAAGAAAGAGAAAAGAATACTAAAAAGAAAAGTCTTATGGATCTCTGAAATCTGACACATGTGTCATCGACTGGGACTTAACTAAGTGTAGGTCAAATAAGATCAGCAAAACCGTTGTAAAAATGGAGACTTTGGGGCATCCCACCATCAGAATGAAGCAAAGGAATGATCCAACGCATGCGCGAGAATTCCGAATCAATTTATCCAATCGAACGGATTACAAATGCTTGAGGAGAAGGCCTTAATTTTGAAGTTTGAGATATAGGATGGCAAGTGCCCATCTTCCCTTTATATTGCAAACCCTTAATAAGACGGCGAGAGAAGAGCATTTTTCTGCAAGATTGGCCGTATTGCTACATAGAAAGTGTCATCTTATGCCGAATAGTTTGTAGGCTAGGGTGTAGTTTGCACGTATCCAAAATAGGTGCTGTGGTTTTAATATAAATTTAAACTAAAATCATGACATTTATTTTGGAATGGAAGGAGTAGCATATTGTTCAGCGAGGATATTATCAAGTTGAGAAAGGCGAGTTTGCCTCCATTAGATACTCTTCCTATATTCCCTTACACAAGGCCACTTTGTTTTTTATGTCAAATTTTGGTCAATAAAATATGGATTATATGTCATAAAAAACATATTGGAAAGTTTTTTGAAATGTGCATCCAATGACATACTTTTTGTGGTATATAACTCACTTTGTGTTGATAAAATTAATGATCAAATTAGATACAAAAACATAAAATGGCCTTGTATAAGAGAATGGTAGGAGTAATTGCATTGGTTTGACATGGGCATTCAGTTTGATGTACTAGGGGCAGGAAGTCATGCAGTGTTGGCCTAGTGGTTGCCAAGGCAAGGCAGGTTTTCTCCGGGATACGCACAAGACACGTTGGAAGAATGCGGCCCAAGATTTGTGGCGGTTCGTGGGCGGTAGCCCCTTGCCTTTGAGAGATTGAGAGTGTTGTGTTGTATTGATGAGATTTGGGTAAGATATTCACAAGGCACTAGAGTCCAGAGTTGAATAGGGCATGAGCGCCAAGCCGCCAAGCAGTATTCACGGGCGTGACCAGCCAATGGTAATCCATTGTACTGAAGCAAATTGATGATTCGCAACCGTGGCCTGATGCGACGTTGACGATGGTGGGGTCTCCTTACTTGATTCCTCCTGGTTGGAGGGCGCGTACATGCTCCCGTCCGGTCCGGTTTCGGACACGGTGGTGTATTGAGGCAGAGAACATGAGGGGAACGTGTTCATAAGATAGGATTATCGTAAGAATATGAATTTTGTAAGGAATTCTAGAGGATAGGATTTTTATAGGATTTTTTCCTTTGGAGCCCTTTGGTTCATAGGAATGGATTTCTATTCCTACATAGGATTGGTTCCTATCCTCCACATTTCATAGGAAAATAAAAAAGAGTCTAAACTCAATGGAAAAATTCCTTTGATGTCAACCAAATAACATCTTGTTTCCTATTCCTACTCATATTCCTATGATAATCCTATCCTATAAACCAAAAAATGCCTAAAATGACATGTATCTCAAATCCTATGAGTAGGAATAGAAAACGAGATGTCATTAGATTGACATCAAAGGAATTTTTCCATTGAGTCTAGGCTCATTTTTATTTTTCTATGAAATGTGAAAGATAGAAACCAATCCTATGTAGGAATAAGAATTCATTCCTATGAATCAAAGGGCTTTAAAGAAAAAAAATTCTATAAGAATCCTATCATCTAGAATTACTATGAAATTTCTCCAAACCAAAGAACGCCTTAAAGGGATAGCAACACAGACACGGACCCAGACACAGAGCACGCTGTAGGCAGGAGTAAAAAGAGAGGTGACACGTTTGAGGGAATTTTTTTCCCGCCGATGTGGAACACAATCAGGGCGGGCAACCCACAGGCACCTGAGCATGAATGAATGAATGGATGATATCATGTTGCCAGCCAGGCCTGCGGCTGCCCAGCGAGGAGACGACGCATGGAAAGGGAATGCTGCGTTGGTTGTGATTGGTCGCGCTCACACAGCCAGGCGTTGGCCATGGCCATCCAATCCATCCCTAACCTAAGCTAAGCCAATCCCCTTTTCCACATATTTGCTTGCATGGTTTGATACTTGATTCGACTGATGATGATGATAAAACGATGCTGTTGATGGTGGTGGTGGCAGCGTTAGGCGGTGACAGCGTGTGGGGCC